AATAATGAAACAGACGGGCAGAAATAACATTTAAAAATAAATGAGTCGGAAAATAAATATAATTTAAGTGAAATAATTTTGTTTATTTAAAAAAAAAAAAGTGAGAAAGAATAAGAAATATTTTATGAATTGAAAAGAAATTATACAATTGAGAATATTTTTTTAAGTAGAGAATTGATTTAATTAAGAATTGATAAGTATTAATTTGTGAATTTAGAGATATTAAAGAATAAATATATATATATATATATAAATAATTGGTAATTTATTTTAAAGGCAAGAGATAAGACCGAATGTGAGAATTAAATAATTGATGATTGTCTTTAAAAGGCAAGAAATAAGACCTTATTTGATGAATAAAGTAATTGAAAAATAAATAACTAAGAATTTGTTGTTAAAAAAAGGCAAGAGGTAAGACCTTGTGTTATAAATAAGTAACTGAATAAATATGAGATTTTGTAAAACAGATAATATCATTAAACCGTGTTCACACGTATATTAAAAAGAGAAATAATTGATTGAAATAAAAATAAATATATTGGTATAAAAATACAGTGAAGTTTATGTTTATTGGAAAAGAATAATTTTAGGACCGGTCTAGAATAAGTTTATTAGGAATAAAATTTTAATTAATAATAATTACAATTTAATTAGTTAGGTAGGTGAATATAAAAATGTAAAAAGGTAAAAGAATATAATAGATAATATTTTGTGTGGTGTAATTTTTTTTTCTAGGAGTAATTAACTATTAATAGGAAAATAATAAAATAAGTATTGTAGCATAATATAAAATAATAATAGTAATAATAGCGCGTGAACTAATGTTTACAGTAAAAAACTGGTATCGGTTATCCTTAACACGTTAAATGAATATTGAACGAAGCATTTATGAACAGAATTAATATTAACTAAAAATACACGCAACGCGATAGTAATACATTCGAACGGTTTATAGAAATAAATATTACTTAATACATTATAATTGTTAAGAATAAATAAACATATTAAATTTGATTTGATTATTTTTCTTTGGTTAAAAGAAAAATATATTGATGAATAAAAATTTGGATAACATTATAATTCATTCACTATTCAATTTATCTAAGTCAATCCAAACCTTAGAAATTTACGCCGGACTTTGAGCTTTTGTAATTCGAGGAGTGGAGTTTAAATATTATGATATAACTAAAAATGTATATTGTATATTAAAAATTAAACAATTTTTATTTATGAAGGACATAAGAAAACGGGGTGTAATACAGTAGTATGTCTAGAGTCTAGATGTAAACATGTAAAACACTATTTTCATACCTATTTAATTGTTAAAATATAACATTATTATTCTACGATTTAGATGTTTCGTCGTCGTTTGTGCATGTGCTTGTGCCTGCGTATTTCATGCGTTGCACGCTCGGGAATAAAATACGCATATACCTACATCATTCAGGCACAGTATATCAGATTAAACGGACAATAAATATTAATTTCAAAAATAAAAAGTAAATTATATAAGCCCCAAAAGAATAGGTAATCAAACTTACACATAAATCAACTTTTCGGTTAAATAAAGCCATATAGTTCAGACGCTGCATATATCCAGGAACTGCCCTTCTCTACATCTGTCTTCATCTCACCCTGAACT